TCCAACCTGAATGCAGTCAATCAGGATCATAAGGATGCGCGGTAAGGATGCAAAGGCCTTGGAACGCCATGTTGAGGTTTTCCGCGCGGAGCGCGGCCAGCGAAAGTTGACAAGGATGCGCCGAAGGGGCAAGCGTGCAAGGGTACCCTGGCCAAGTTGCCCCATCCTTACTATCATGGTTGACTGTAGTTTTGTTGATGTTCTCCAGGTGCCTGGGGTGGGGCGGGCGAGGGGCCGAAAACGGCGAAAGAGCGCAGGACCCGTGTCGCTCAGCACGCGTTCTCTTCACGGTCTGGTCCGAGGCAGCAGCGATGACGAGGACAACTGACGTCGTCCAAAGGCCTCCGAGGGTCCACCGGAGGTCCCAGAGGCTCCAAGAGGACCAAAAGAGGCAGACACCACACAATCATTTCGTGTATCCCGACGGTACGACCCCACATGAGAATCCCCTTGGTGTCCATGTGCGTGCCACTCGACATCTAATAATGGACATGATCCCAGGATGCTAGAACGCCACCAGGATACCAGATGCCAGGAAGCCCAGATGCCACGGCACCAAGATGCAAGGAATGCCAGGGTGCCAGGGTGATGGGCGGCATGGATGCCTGGATGACAGCATGGCAAGCTCCCAGGATGCCAGGAATGCCAGATTGCCAGCATCGCAAGATCCCAGGATACCAGTGCAATCTGTGCGGCCTGTGGGACAGAAAGGAACTATGGGACCTGTGGAACAGTTGGGATCCGTCCGACCTGTGGGACCTGCGGGGCACGTGGAACATGTGGCACTTGTGCGACCTGTGGGAGTTGTGGGACCCGTGCCACATGTGGGGCGTATGGGACCTGTGAGTCCCGTGGGAGCTGTATGACCTGTAAGGCCTGTGGGACATGTGCGACCAGTGGGGCGTGTGCGACTTGCAGAGCATGAGGGACCGGTGAGACTGCCAGAATTGCAAGGCCTGTGCCTGGATGCCAGGGATAGCAGGATGCCAGAGTGGCGAGGACAACCAGGGATACCAGTGAGGGAAGGATGCTAGGGATGCCAGGATCCGAACGCAAAATCTAAATCAGGAGTTGAAACCGGGGAGCACGAACAGCCCAAAGTGGCTTACAGCGTGTTCCCGACCTTCAGAATCAATCCCAGGAGCAGAGGGAGATCTGGGAACACAACCCCAATTGGCCTACATTTGGCTCCAGACGTGCAGCAAAATCACACCCACGAGTGGAGTTCTGGACACACGAACAGCCAGAAGCGGCGTACAGATGCCTCCGGACAATCAAACCACTCCGAGTGGTTACGCTCTGGGGGCACGTATCGCCCGAAGTGGCACTTTCAAGTCCGCTCCAAGAGTGGAGTTCTGGGAGCACGAAGAGCCGGGAAGTAGCTTACAGTCGGCTCCGGACATACCCACTGAAGCCTGGGAGTGAAGCTTTGGGAACGGCTGGCTCCAGACACTTGGAAGCAGTGCTGGGAATGGAGTTCCTGCGAATCGATGATCACGAAACCGTATGTGCTTTGAGTGTTTTGTATAGCGGCCTTTGACTGCAATCATAAAAAGCGGGCCCCATAGGCAGGGAGCTCCACCTCGAGATGTCTTTGCGATTCACTCACACGCGAGGCTCCCGCTCGAGACTTCCCGAATACGAACGCGTCAGTGCGAGCGTGTGTGCAAGTGTGCGATGATTACGATGATGACAATGATAAGGAGCATGATACTAATGACGGTAATGATCAGGGCTCAACCTGAACAATGCTTTCTGTTCACGTTTCGTTTTCGTGTAAAAGCGAAGTTTGAGCGAAAACGCCGGCCGGCGTCGCGCGGGCCGTTCTGGAACAGAACAGCGGGTGAACAGAACAGAGGCCCCCGAGCAGCCGAAAACGAAATGCATAACAGAACGGTGACAGGGCCGCGGGCCATCAACATAACGGAAAAACTAAACGAGCGAGCGCCAAGGAACAACGACGACGCCGACGAGTCAAGTGAAGGTTTAAGCAGCGAGAGCGCGAGTAACAATTTAGGCGGAGATCTAGATAAAGATTTAATCCGCGAGGGAGCGAGTGACGATACAGGTGGAGATCCCAGCACAACCCCCCAGCACACACTCGCACAGCACGACCCCCAGCACAACCCCCCTCCGCACAACCCCCCTCCGCAAAATCCCCCAGCACACACACCCAGCACTACCCCCAACACAAACCTCCAGCGCAATCACCCAGCACAAACCCCAAGCAGAACCCCCCCCCAGCACAACTCCTCAGCACAACCCCCCCAGCACAACCCCCCCCCCCCTCCCAGCACGACCCTCCCAGCACGACCCCCTGGCACAACCCCCTGGCACAACCCCCTGGCACAACCCCCCCTCAGCACAACCCCCAGCACAACCTCCCAGCACAACCCCCTGGCACAACCCCCCAGCAAAACCCCCCGCACAACCCCCAAGCACAACCCCCCCAGCACAACCCCCGGCACACACCCCCAGCACATCCCCCCAGCACAACCCCAAGGCACAACCTGCCAGCACAACCCCTAGAGAGGGCCAATTTAGAGTCTGGAGGTTGTGCTGGAGGTTGTGATGGAGGGTGTGCTGGAGGTTGTGCTGGAGGTTGTGCTGGAGGTTGTGCTGGAGGTTGAGCTGGAGGTAGTGCTGGAGGTTGTGCTGGAGGCCGTGCTGGAGGTTCTGCTGGAAGTTGTGCTGGAGGTCGTGCTGGAGGTTGTGCTGGAGGTTGTGATGGAGGTTGTGCTGGAGGTTGTGCTGGAGGTTGTGCTGGAGGTTGTGCTGGAAGTTGTGCTGGAGGTTGTGCTGGGGGTTGTGCTGGAGGTTGTGCTGGAGGTTGTGCTGGAGGTTGTGCTGGTAGTTGTGCGGGAGGTTGTGATTGTCCTGGAGGTCGTGCTGGAGGTTGTGCTGGAGGTTGTGCTGGAGGTCGTGCTGGAGGTTGTGCTGGAAGTTGTGATGGAGGTTGTGCTGGAGGTTGTGCTGGAGGTTGTGCTGGAGGTTGTGCTGGAAGTTGTGCTGGAGGTTGTGCTGGAGGTTGTGCTGGAGGTTGTGCTGGAGGTTGTGCTGCGGGAGGTGTGTGCTGGAGGTTGTGCTGGAGGTTGTGCTGTTGCGCTGGAGGTGTGCTGGAGGTTGTGCTGGAGGTTGTGCTGGAGGTTGTGCTGGAGGTTGTGCTGGAGGTTGTGCTGGAGGTGCTGGAGGTTGTGCTGGAGGTTGTGGTGGAGATGGAGGTTGTGCTGGAGGTTGTGCTGGGTTGTGCTGGAGGTTGTGCTGGAGGTTGTGCTGGAGGGTTGTGCTGGAGTGCTGGAGGTTGTGCTGGAGGTTGTGCTGTGCTGGAGGTTGTGCTGGAGGTTGTGCTGTGTGGAGGTTGTGCGGGAGGTTGTGCTGGAGGTGTGCTGGAGGTTGTGCTGGAGGCTGGGAGTGCTGGGTGCTGGAGGTGTGCTGGAGGTTGGTGCTGGAGGTTGTGCTGGAGGTTGTGCTGGAGGTTGTGCTGGAGGTTGGTTGTGCTGGAGGTTGTGCGGGAGGTTGTGCTGGAGGTTGTGCTGGAGGTTGTGCTGGAGGTTGTGCTGGAGGTTGTGCTGGAGGTTGTGATGGAGGTTGTGCTGGAGGTTGTGCTGGAGGTTGTGCTGGAGGTTGTGCTGAAGGTTGTGCTGGAGGTAGTGTTGGAGGTTGTGCTGGTGGTTGTGCTGGTAGTTGTGCGGGAGGATGTGCTGGAGGTTGTGCTGGAGGTTGAGCTGGAGGTTGTGCGGGAGGTTGTCCTGGAGGTTGCGTTGGAGGTTGTGCTGGAGGTTGTGCTGGAGGTTGTGCTGGAGGTTGTGCTGGAGGTTGTGCTGGAGGTTGTGCTTGGGGGTTGCGCTGCGGAGGGTTGTGCTGGGAGGTTGTGCTGCGGAGGGTTGTGCTGGGGGGCCGTGCTGGGGGGTTTTCAGGGCTGTGCTGGGGGGTTGTGCTGGGGGGTTGTGCTGGGGGTTTGTGCTGAGGGGGGCTGGTGCTTCGAGATTGTGCAGGGTGGTGGTGCTGGGGGGGTGACCCCCCAGCGAAACAAAAAGCCAACAAAACAAGCGGCGACTGCCCACGAGAAAACATAACGCCCAACACAACGTGCGGCACGCGCCTGTGCCAGAACAGAACGACCAACAAAACGGCAGCCCGGTGGCCAAAACGCATGGGCGCGACGGCCGGCGTTCAGAGCATGTGAAAACGTTTTTTGAAGCGCTTTCACAACGAAAAACAAAAGTAAAACGGAAACAGATGGGAAAAAATAGGTACACACTGTTTAGGTCGAGCCCTGGTAATGATGATGGTGATGGTCGCCTGTAATCCTGGGGGGTTTTGATCGTGATGATTGTGATGATGATGGTGGTGACGATGGTGATAATGATGCTGATAATGCTGATGATGGCGAGGATAATGATGCTGATGACGATGGTGATGACGATGATGACGGTGGTGATGATGCAGATGCTGAAGACGATGATGATGACGATGTTGTTGATGGTGATGATGCTTGTGATGATGACGGTGGTGGTGGTGATGTTGTTGATGATGATGATGGTGATGATGATGCTGATGATGCTGATGATGCTGATGGGTGTGGGTGCCCCTGTTCCTGAACAGGGATGTCCGAAGACACAAGAACCCCACTTGGGATGTGTACTGCTCGATCCTCCTCGATGTTCAATCTTCCGCTGGGCACCCTCCGGCATCCTCCCCGATCCTCCACCGAACTCGATCTTCGGTCCCTCCTTGATCCGTCTTCACCCTCAAACCCCTCGATCCACTCCCTATCCTCCTGATCCTCCTCGATCCTCCATCCCTCGCGATGCTCCTCGAGCCCCCCTCCCCTCGATCGATCCTCCTCGAGCCCCCCTCCCCCGCGATCCTCCTCGAGCACCCATCACCCTCGATGCCATTCCCCTCGATCCTCCTCGAGCCCCCCTCCCCCTCGATCCCATCCCCCCCTCGATCCTCCCCTCCATCCCCCTCGGTCCTCGAGCCTCGATCCCCTGGGCCTGCAGCAGCGGATCAGCGGCCGCCCGGCGCCACAGCCCGGCAGCGTCGTCGGCAGACTCGTTCTCGGCGCCTGCTCCGGGCCCCACCCGCTGTGCAGGGCCTAATTGGAGACCCCCGTGCGGGTGTGCTGAATTTTCCCCTCTCGAGGAACTCGGGGGGTGCCACAGGTGTCCCTGGCCCAGGGTGCCCCAAGCCGGTCGCGCCATCCTGGAGCCCCTGGGGCCCTCGGGGCCTCGTGAGGGGTGCCTCTGGAAGCCGTGGAGGAGGCCTTCCGGGAAAATCTGGAGGCACCTTCTCTTGGCGGCGCGCACAAGGGGGTGGGGGAGGGGAGAGGGCTTCTTAGAAGGAGGCTGCTCTTTAGAAGGCGCCGGCCTTACATCTATAGAGATGGCCCGCGCCTTCTAAGAAGCAGGGGTGCTTCTAAGAAGCCCTCCCACTCCCCCCACCCCCCTCTGCGCGTGGCTGATTCTGGCAACTCCCGAGCAACATCCGTTGAACGGGGAGAGGTGGCGTGGGGGGGAGGGTCTGCGAGCGCCACAGCATGCCCGTGAGCACCAGAGCAGCACCATGCCTGTGAGCACCGCGCCATGCCCGGGGGGGGGCTGGAACCGCGCCCCCGCCGCCCCCCGCGTACGTTCGGTGCCGTTGGAAGGAGTGGCGAGAGGGGGTGGGGACCCCTCGTAACAGACGTTGCGGGTTCACCGACTAGAAGACACAAGCTCTGTCAACATCGATGCCTCGCCAAATCTCCGACGGAGATAGGTTTTTTCAATCCCGGTGTGTTTCCGAGATTCTGGCACCCGGTGCCCGCTATCGGGGCTCAGGACCATCAAGAACGGATATTGAGAAAAGGACACTCAAATGCGGAGAGTTCCAAGCACGAAGACCTGAAGGGACCTGGGGATGGGTTCGGGCCATAGCGCCGCGTCGCTGATGCATCAGCGACGTCGGCGCTGAGAAAACGGGGCTCGGCATTGAACCGCCTCGCCGATGCATCGGCGATGCAGCCTGCACGACCCTCTGACCGCCCCATAACCTCGGACCCCATTTGGGGTCTCCAGCCCTATCCTGATCCCGCCCGCATTCCCGTTCCCTCCGAACGACGGTATGGCAAGATCGTGTCGTGACGACTCGTGCGCGCCACTGGTGGCGATCAACCTTGAACGCCAGCGCTGCGGTCGCCGCCGCGTCAACACGGCACGACACGATATAACACGCCGTATCCTCGTCGTGGGCGTCCCCGCTCTCCTGGCCCATGCCGCGGCCCGTCTGCTTACGATTGCTTTCCCGTCTCCCTTCCTCTTCCCCCTGCTCCTCCTCCCGCGCCCCCTTCGCCCTTCCTCCCTGCGTGTGGTCTGTGTCGACTACACGCTAAGAACGGCCCTAGGCAACAGTGACCTTTGGTGCAGAACTTTGGGGGGCCGCGGGTAGGCTGAATTCAAGCGCGCAGACCAGGTGTTGGGGGAACCCCTGTGAGCCCGCACCACACGTCATCCCAGCGAAAAATCACTTTTACGTGTAACCGAATCTTCCCCCTGTCCCTTCCCGCCTCGGGGATCTTCTGACCCGGGTCAATCTAGACCCGGGCCAGTCAGGCTTTGCAGGATCCTGCAAGATTCCAGAGGATCCTGCGCCCAAGCTGGGGTCAGTGCACACTCTATGCAAGATTATGAAAGATCCGGCGCTCTAACTGACCCCCGTTTGCATTGACCTCCGTCTCTTGAGCCTGGATCGCATGCACTCCTCGTCCCGCCGGCCCTGGCCTCTCGCCTGCGCGTTCGTCATCGCCTGCCTGCCCCTCCCACCATCAGTCCTCCCTCTGCTGCGGGCTGGGCAGCACCAACTGCCATCTGCGCCCTGGGCCAGCGTTGCGGGAAAAGGGCGACTAAACTGCTGGAGCAACTTCGTTGGGAGCAGGATGAGGAGCACAAGCCGTGTTTATTTCTTCTCTGAATGTCTGAGTTGTCTGTTTCGCGTCCATGCCCTTCGGATGGATGCGATCCGAACTCGATGACTGTCGGTCTTCGCCCAGGCCTTTCGAATGGATGCAGTCCGAGCTCGCGCTGAGAAGATGGAGGAGGAGGAGGTGGAGGAGAAGGAAGAGAAACGAACGAACGAACGACCGCCGCTGCGGACCACCGTTCGGGCCTAGCTAAGAACAGGTGGGCGAGGCCGTGGCCTCAGGAATCTAGAGCGTGTGAACAGCATGCAATGCGAGATACATAAAGAAGAAAGGATTGGGGCCAGAGGTCCTGGGAGTCGGTGTCGCCGTGGATCTCGGTATGTTTGTGCGCGTCAGTGTGGGAGGGAGAGGGAGGGAGGGAGGGAGGGAGAAGGTCTTTGACGTCGATGTCGGCGTGATGCTCACTTACGCGATGGTGCAGTTGTGGTCGAGAAATGACCACGTGATAGTGTCTTGGGCCGCACGAATTCACGCGAGGCCTTTTGGTTGCCCTTTGTCGCGTGTAGGAGCCGGGGCCAGGTGGAGGTCTGCTCTGCGCTGACGTAGGTGTGCGAGGACTTCGTCGCTCCAGCGTTTGTACTGGGCCCCGTGTTGTCCATGGGTGTCTGGCTGCCACTGCAACGCCCTCCACGTCCACCTGGTGGGCGCGTGGCAAGCCATTTTTGCGGCCATTCTCCGTACCTTCTTTTGGTGCGTCGTCGTCCAACTGTCTACGTGGTGGGACTTCATGAGCTGTTCTGCGCGTCGCGTAGCACGTTGGATGTATTCGACCCAAGGTTCCCCGAGGTCCAAGTCGTTGTTGTCGTCGGTGCTATCACTGCGGCGCGTCGGTGTCGACGCTGTGTCGTGATGCGGCAGGTTGCTGTCTGCGTCGTCGCTCTTGCTGTTATCGTGGGGGTCGTCGTGGGCGTCTCTGCCTGGCGCGTCTTTGTCCGTACCATCGTCACCCGTTGCGCATTGGATGCCGCCGCTGTCTGCTGGGGGGGGCGCCATGTCACCGAAGCGTCCTGAGAATAATGCGAAACATGTGTCGCTGTGTCCGCCTGAAGTTCGGCCGAAGTGGTTCCGTGAGTGTCCACGTTTCTGTTCCGTACAGTGCAGTCGGTGTGACAGTGCCGTTGACAAGCCTGATTCGGTATGCGAGTGGGTAATGCCTACTGGTACGTTCTTGTTTGTGAGAGGTCATACAGCTCTTGCGCGATGGTGGACGTCTGTCTCCAGGGGGCTGTGGAAGCTGGATCTCTTGGCCTAGATAACCGAATACCAACGATAATGATGTACTCCCGCCCCCTATACACATAAGAATTGATTATCCACGGCCAATAAGAGTTTGGTCGGGGGCGCGGGGGCGCGGAGGCCGAACTTCATTATCACCGTGAAAAGTTCGCCATCGAGGTTACTTCCTCCTCCTCCTCCTCCTCCTCTCCTCCTCTCCTCTCCTCCTCCTTCTCCTTCTCCTCCTCCTCCTCAGTTCGCCATCTCCTTCTCCTCTCCTCTCCTCCTCCTCCTCCTCCTCCTCCTCCTCCTCCTCCTCCTCCTCCTCCTCCTCCTCCTCCCCCTGGCGCCCTGAACTTGTTTATCGCTGTGGTTGATTATCCTGGGAAAACGAAGCAGATGAGCCACCCTACACGAGCAGATTAACATCTTAATTTCCGTTAAGCGCTTACACACTAAATCTAATAAGTTTTGAAATTTGGGTTGTTTCTTCCTCCTTCTCATATTCCTCTCCTCTCTCTCTCTCTCTCTCTCTCTCTCTCCGTCTCTCTCTCTCTCTCTCTCTCTATCTTTCTCAACCTCTTTCTCTCTTTCTCTCTGTCTCTCTATCTGTCCTCTGTCTCTATTTGTCTTTCTCTTTCTCTTTCTTTCTCTCTCTCTCTCAACATTTATCCTTCTTTCCGTGCCCCCCTGAACTTTTTTTATCGCTGTGGTTGACTATCCTGGGAAAACGAGGCAGATGAGCTACCCTACACGAGCAGATGAACATCTTAATTCCCGTTAAGCGCTTACAAATAAAATCTCATAGGTTTTGAACTGTGGATTGTTGCTTCCTCCTCCTCCTCTCCTTCTCCTGCTCGTTTCTTCTCTTTCTCTCTGTTTATATGTCTAAATATTGTCGAGGATGTCTCAAGCGAGACAAGCGATTGTTGAGGATGTCTCAGAGAGGACAAAAAAACAAGGATGTCTCAAGAGGCTTTGGCTCCTCTGTTAACATCTTTATGCTGGCCTCTGGTGGGCAACTTTTCTTATCACACCGTAACCGCCGAACTTTCTTCTCCCAGGGGGGTTATTCTCGGCTGTACTTGGTTATTTGAGACTGCCCTCAGAAGGAACAATCGCGATGTTCATGTCCTGGACGCGTGCTGTGCGCGAGCTCGCCCTGCCCGTCTTTCGCGTGAGATTGCTCATGATGTTGGTCTTGTCTGGGTGTAGCTCGAGCCCGTGGGGTCGCGCTGCGCTGGCTATGTCGTCGAGCATGACGGTGAGGCGCGGAAGGGTTTGGCTCGTCAGGAGCACGTCGTCGGCATGAGGAGGGAGAGGAAGAGAAGGAGGAGGAGAGAAGGGGAGGAGGAGGGAGAGGCGAAGGGGCAAGGGAACTGCGACGGTCCTCTGCGGCCACTTATAGGAGGAGAAGCGAACGTCCCCCGAAGAGGAAGAGGAGGAGAAGGAGGAGGAGGAGGAGGAGGAGGAGGAGGAGGATCGTCATGCCTCGAGCCGCGAACGGCCCCCGCGCGGGGCAAGCGTGGGCGGCCTGGCGCAGCCCCCGACACGGCGCGCAGCCACGGCAGCACGGCCAGGTGCGCCACGATCGCTCTGCCCCGGTGGTCCGGCATCGAGGGGCCATGGGATGCGGGGCGAGGGGGGGGGGATGGGGGGTGGGGGGGGCGGGGAAGGGATGGGGCAGGAAGGGGGGAGGAGGGGGAGGTGGGGGGCGGAGCGGGGGGAGCAGCAGAGAGAGAGGGGAGAAGGGGGAAACGGGGGGCCAGAGGAGGATGGGGGGGCCGGAGAAGAGGACGGGCAAGAGGGGAGAGAGGGGTGGCCAGAGGAAGAGGGAGGGAAGGGGAGGGGCGGGACGGGGCACGAGAAAGGCAGAGGGGAGGATGAAGGGACGAGAGGGGTCGGATGAGGGTGAAGGAGGGGGAGCGGGGAGGGGGAGGGAGGAGAAGGTCAGGAAGCAACATTTTTTGACGGAACGGGCAAAAGCCATCCAGCCCGACTTCAGAAGCTGTCAAGCCACACTCGGCCCAAAACTCAGCCTAATATTTAGCCGGATCCAGCGATGCCAGACCGAACTAAGCGGGATCTGTCAGGATTTAGCCGGCCTTCAACCACAGAGATGCTGGCGCCGCTGATGAATTAATCCTCCCAGGAATTGCAGCAACAACTTTTGCGGAAGAGACTGGCCTGTGCAAGAGGCGCGTGGCCCCACCTCCATTGTGGGAGGTGGTGCTTGGCTACAGGAGAACAATACAACAATTAATTGCAGGGGAGACAGGAACGAGAGTAAGACGAGGACACAGGCAGGAGGAGGGAGGAGGGAGGAGGGAGGAGGGAGGGGGAGGACGAGGAGGGGGACGAGGAGGAGGAGGAGGAGGAGGAGGAGGAGGAGGAGGAGGAAGGGGAAGGGGAGGGGGAGGGGGAGGTGGAGGGGGAGGAGGAGGAGGAGGAGGAGGAGGAGGAGGAGGAGGAGGAGGAGAAGGAGGAGGAGGAAGAATGCGGAGAAGAAGGAAGAGGAGGGCGGGGAGGGCTCGAGGGCGCGGGGAGGATGGGCTCGAGGGCGCTCGCGGGAAGGACGGGCGCGAGGGGCCCGGCGAGCAACGAGCGAACTGCACGAAAAGAAGCTTTCGGAGAACAGCGCGGATTTCTTTGCTCGGCGCTGGGCCACCCCTGGCCGTCGCCGCCCCGGGCGCTTCGCGCGCCATGCCGAGGCACTCTGCTGCAAGCTTGAGAGGAGGGATCTCCTGGTGGAGGGACGGTGGCTGGACAAGAAGTGTCCACGCCAATCACGCCAGGCCAACGCACCGACGAAGTGCTTCCAAGAAGTCGAGAGCCCCCCCCCAATTCCAGAGTTGGCAGTGGTGCGCGCGAGACAGCGCGGGAAGGACTAGATGTGGATACTTCAACTTTGGGATCGGGTGGGGGGGAGAGGTGTGAGCCATGTGTCCTCTGCGCTTGCGGATGCTGTCAATTCAGGCTGCCTTCACTGCATAGGTGCGGACACTTTTTGTCCGGGCACCGGAGCGAGGGGCGAATGACGCGTGCACCTGGCAGTGGAGGGAGTACTGAACTTAGGCGG